TGGTTGCCACATTTGCCTTCAAAAACACAGTCACAGCACATTACAGTAAAATCCTATAAAGCACTTGGAGACATCTTTACGACATATTAAGGTGCTATAATAATTTGGTCACTCAATACATGAATGTTTATGGGAGACTAGTGTGCCCAATTGGCTGCCACGTTTCGCCCACAAAATATGGTAAGGCTCTATATCAAATGCAAGGATTATTATTTATTATTATAACAGAGCAAGGATTATTATCATATATCAGGATGATGTGTTGTCACCAGAACTCACATCATCTTTCATTCCGGATTTATTGCAGCAGGTAAATCCAGATCAGTATTTTGTGAATGGCTCCAGTTGACAGTTTGATCAATATCAAAGTGTCCCACAAGCAATTGATCCTCTGCCTAATTGTCCACTTATGGAAGCTGACGGAAATTTTCCCACTGCCCACATGAATAATATTTCATGAGAGAAAATAAACAAAATGGTCAGCAGTATATATATCACAAGCAGAAGGCATATCACAATCAATAATTGTACAGCAGGTATTGATTACCTCTGAATATTACAGGAAACGGAACCTGCAGACACTGTAATGTGACTTATTTAGGTCAACATCACTATTTAAGGGGAAACAAATTGTGAATGATCAACATTCTCCCTCACAAAGGCCCTCTTGTGCAAGAGGGTCCAAATGACCATGCGTAGAGTAGTGCCACTACACTCACATAGGGTGTACAAGCATTGCTATAATGGGGAAGAGAGTAGTGCCAAACTTTATGTACAAAATGAATGCAAGTGAGATACCTGGGTTCGATTCCTAGCAGTAAATGGGAATCCAGTTGTTAGTCGATTGGCGGATTGCTTTTCCAGGGTAAAGAATTCCTTCAAAAAAATACATTGGTTACCCAATCCACGACTGTTTAATAATAATAATAATAATCCTTGCATTTGATATAGCGCTTTTCATGACGGGAGGACGTCCCAAAGCGCTTCACAGAACACACTGTAAAGTGAATTGACTGTATATTTGTGGGCGAACGCGGCAGCCAATTGGCACAGCAATGTCCCACAAACAGTCGTAGATTGAAAATGACCAATTTATCATTGTTTTTGGTTGTTATTGTTATTATTATTCTTTATGCTACACTGCTGTACATATTTGGCTGCTGCGTTTCACCCACAAAATATGCAGTCAATTCACTTTACAGTATATTCTGTGAATTGCTTTGAGACTTCTCGAAGACGTGATATGTGCTATATCAAATGCAAGGATTATTTTATTTATCATCATTAAAATGACAATGTAAAATCCTACAAAAGTAAGTTTTAAAAATGGATTGGTTATCATCAAAGAACAAAGGAAGAAAAAGTCCTCATATCACTAAGTGAAAATGAAATGCAGGAGACACCATGTTATCACACAACAACAATGCATTTACATTTAATAGAGACATAAAGACATTTTTTTTACCAAAGATTGTTGGAAGTGTTTCTATCCTGAGAAGCGAGGGATACTGTTTGCACATTATTACATAGTTCAGGCCGTTAAGTCAAATCGTATGCTTTGGGCAGACATATCTGTCTTATTAAAAAAAGTATGCACAATTCAAATATGACTTTCCATTGAATTTTTAATGTCCTCCTGTTCAAAGATACAAATAGATGTTCTGCTGTGGCTCGTGCATTTACCAGTCTAACAAGGGTTCCTGGTATATTCTTTAACACTACTAAAAGATCACATGGAGAAAAACATAACAGTGTCACAATGATCATCGACGATAAACTATCGCTGGTGTTACTTATTGACTGGTTGACAATTGCCACCTGCCTTTAACAATTTGTGATTAAACACTTCCCAAGTTCAACACAATGGTTTTTAACAAAGCCACTTTTCAAAATAGTTCATCTGTCATCTTGAATTCTCGATTCACGATAGCAGGCAATGAATACTGGTTGAGTTAAGCAGGTGCCCAATTTTTCACTGCACGTAAACACCATTCCTTGTGTTTGAAAACAAGAAACGGAAATCTGAAATCTCGGGCCACAACCATTATGCCGAGATTGGGGTCGGTCTTCAGCACAATGGAGAAAGCTACAGATTCTTGAGCTCCACTTGTTTCCAATCCGCTCAGCTGGCACCAACCTGCTTCATGCCCCCCACCCTACCCACCCCACCAGTAGCGGGCAGGCTTTCAGCCCATCCACCCCTATTCTTAGGAACTCCATTCTGGAGTCTCCCTCCGATTTCCTTCCTCCCTTACCTCATTCAAGGTCTATCTCAAGACCTATCTCTTTGAGCGTGCTTTTGATCATCTTGTGTCTTCACTCTGGCCTTCCCCTCCAGCTCGGGTGCCAAGACATGAGCGCCTTATGATATTCTCCCAACCTGAAAGACGCTATATAAATTTGCTTTTATATTGTCATCATGGATAAAGGCATTTGTTTATGAGAATTCAAATTCTTGCACCAGCTGGTCTTACTGATTTTGGGACAACCCTTCATTCATCATGAATTTACAGACTTGGTGGAAGAGTCACATTTGTCTCAGCCGATGAATACACTTATCTTGCTGTTGTCAGCTAAATGTGAAAGAAAACCCAACCAATTCAGGATTCAGATGTTCTTATCTGCCCTGCTCAGCATATTCAGTTTGAGTCTGTATCAGCCCGTTCATGTCAGTTGACAGGAAGTTTAGTAGTGGAGATACATGCTCACTGGAGGCTGAGCTGATGGCTTAAAATTCATGTAATTTTAAGATCCAGAGAAAATCAGAACAGAGTGAGAAAGAGAGAGAGGGAGTTCTGTCATTCTGGGCTGGACTGAAATCCCAGAAATGAAAGACACTGTTCTAACTCACTGAGATATCCAGACCATTATTTCCCATTGCATAAGCACTTAGAGCAATGGGTTTTGATTGTTGCTTTCAAATGGAGTTCTTTTCCTAAAATGTTTGAATTTTTTAAATCTCCCTCTCCCATCCCCCAGAAGGTTTTGACTCTTTTTTGACACAGTTCCTAAAGCACTGGTAAACATCCAGTGCTGTTTGCCTCAAGGGCCATTCTTTATGTGGGAGCTTTGATACTACATGTTTCCGGTAAGGCAAGCCAGCTTGAGCATGAACCTGTCCAAACCCAACATCTACGTGACCCCACCTTGCTGCAGGGAACTCTGGACAACCATCAAAAGGAGGGAAACCTGGCTGATTTTCTCCTCTTTAAAGCTATGGTGCTGAGGCCAATGGTATTGCCCTAACCGCTGCCTTGGCTGTGATCAGAATTAATGGCTGATTAATTCCATGCAGAATTAATTGCTATCAACATCTCAATTATTGCAACATGCAAATACCAGGACGGTAGAAGGCAAACTCAATGGACCTAGGTCTTTTTTCGTCTAGCAATTCTTATGTTCCTATCAGCGAACTCATCATAGGGCGAGATTCAATCTTTTAACCATTCGGTCTGTGTGGAGAGCTGAACATTTAACATTAAGTGCTATAACAGAGTTACAGAAAAGTACCGAACTATAAAAAGTTCTTTTCATTCACAATAACCTTGAAATAAACATAATAACTGGATTCCATGTTTCAAAGAATTAAAAGTGAGACCAGCATAGTGCTTCTTTCTGCACCACCTCATATACACTGTCACAGCTTATCTTTTTGAGATAAGATATCAGGTGAAAAAATATCAGAAGCATAACCTGTGTTCAAAAGTCAGCAAATAAAGTTTTCTCTTTGCAGCATCACTCAAATTGCAGCAGATGCTCTGAGACCAGCATATAGGTGATGGTGGACCTAAAGCAGCTCTGTACTCTGTACATGGAGTCCTGTAGCTCAGTGATTAGAGCACTTGCTTTGCAAGCGAGAGACCTGGGTTCGATTCCCGGCAGGTTGAAACCTTGGGCAAGTTTCCTTGCTCCACACGCCTGATAATAATCCCTCAAAAAAAATAATAAATTGGTCATTTCAATCCACGACTGTTTGTGGGACACTGCTGTGCGCAATTGGCTGCCGCGTTCCGCCCACAAATATACAGTCAATTCACTTTACAGTCTATTCTGTGAAGCGCTTTGAGATGTCAAGAAGATGTGAAAAGCGCTAAATCAAATGCAAGAATTATTATTATTATTATAAGTACTGGGCTGTAGATTAAAAGATTTCCAGTTCTTGAATTCATGGCAATTACCTAATCTACACCTCAACCGATCTGTTGCAAGTCACTTCTGGGACAACTGTGCATTACGAATTGAGTTTACTTTCACAAGAATTTACAGATGGCACAGTGTAAGTTATGGTTTCAAATAAGACTCTGGAGAGTATCCTGTTGTATTACAAAGTAACTGCAAAAACATTAACGGGCTAAATATCACAAAAGGAATTAACATTTAAGCTATCTATACCCCCACCATGGGGTAGGTCTATAAAAAAACAACTCTGGAACACTTTAGATGGAACACTTCCACTCTTCAAAACAGAATATTCTGTACAAAATCTTGAACTCGTTCATTAGTTCCATCCCCTTCTCTCTGGTGTATCTCCAAAAATAAGGTTCTCTAACCCAACTTGCAGGCTGTTGTAGTGTCCTCAGTTAAGACTGAGGTGCACAAATCTGTCGTCATTTGCTACATACCATGAAACAGTCCATGGTGATTGTAAAATTCAATGTCAGCCTTTCTCAGTTGCTAGCGCTCTTGCTTCCATGTCAAGCCCCACGTCAGGACTTTGAACTCATGTTGTCTCAGCTAATACTCCAATGTAGTCTTGTGGGTGGCATCCTCTGGATGAAATGTTAACACGAGGTCTGCTTGTTCACGTGAATGTTAAAGATCAAAAAGAGAAGAGAGTTCCTCCCCTTGTCTTGGTCAACAATCCCCAAATAAAATTGAATATTCATTTCTTGGCTATTCATGGGACATTGCTGTGCACAAATTAGCTACAGTGTTCACCTACAAAAAATACACAGTGACTACACTTTACAGTGAATTCTGTGAATCGCTTTGAGACGACGTGAAAGGCGATATGTGAAATGCAAGGGTTATTATTATTTTTATTGAGATCTTAGGTTTAGTTCTGGGGTCATTCTCCGCCTGTGTGTCCATGTGTGTTGATGCGTACAACGTTGTAGGAAGGAGTTCAGGAAAGACAACAACAATTCTTGAGTCAGCTAAATGAACAACTTTAACATCAATACTACTGAACAAATCTCAATGGTTCCCTTTAAATAGTACTGCCTTTGTTTTATCTATAGCTGAGATCACTGCACATCATCTGTTGTATTAAGAAATATAAACAACCAACCAAAAAAAGCTAGTTCAGACTTAGCCCAAATCTGTGCAGAATTCATCTTTCTCAGCGGGGATGAAACACGATAGAAACCAAATAGTTCGGAGAGAATGGGGGAAGGTGGGTGGGGGGGGCGAGGTCATCTTCACATTAATTCTTCAATGTTAAAAAGAAGGCAAGTGAAGGCAAGAGATGAAATGAAGTATTTCCAACCAAACTATTTCTTTTGCTTTTTTCCCTACAAAGTGTCGGTAATACCTTTATGATTCTGTTTTTTTGACTGTTCTCTGATACTCTTCCAACTCGTTTTTCCTGCTCATAGCTTTCTGCAGTTCCTGCTTAATAAACTGAATCTGTTTCTCCAGTTCTGATAGCTCGTGAATGACTGAATTCCGGGCTTTAGTAAGTGGTTCAGATTTCCCGTTGGAATTGATGGCTACAGGGAGCTCCTTCGCCATTTGGGGTAGGTGTTCATCCTTGCAGTGCTTGAAATCAATTTCAGATTGCTGTTCCTCTTGGAAAATGCATTTTCGTTTGCTCCAGTTTACTTGACTGGCAGTATTCCACACAACCTGCTGGTTATTTCCTACATTGCATCTGATAACAAAAGAAGATGGAGTTACATAATTTTGTTTAAACTGGACACTGTCATTCTTTTCTGGATGGTTATGCTCCTATAGAAAAGAGTGTGCTATTCACATTAATGTATTTCTTCCTTTACTTGAAATAGTAATTGTACAAGCAGAGGTATAATACATTATAAATTACATTTCTATAGCATCTTTCATGTCAGGAGCCCTCTGTAGCGGTTTTGGTAGTCTAGTTCCTGAGCCAGGTGGGTCCTAGTATTCCAGGGTACTGCTGATGACAGCACAGCCAATTTAATGACAGTACCTGGATGGGCAGACCAATCACTGGGGATAGGGAGTCATCCTACTCAGCTCTAAATAACACTCCATAGCCCAAAGCCCTAACTGGTAGGTCTAGTTGGACAAGCCACAGGAAATGTCTGAAAGTGCTTGGCAAGAGCTGAGGAAAGTGAAGAGAAGGATAACTGAAAGAATGACCAAAGATGTATGTTTTCAGATGTATTCTGAAAGAGGAGAGATGAGGAGGCAAATCGGAGGCACCTGGGAATGAGAGATGAACACTTGGCTTCCGCTCAACAGATATGTAGAAGGCATAGATTGTGCACCTGTGCATGTGTGTAGTATGGGATGGGGGGAGGGTCTGATGCATGGATTGTTTCATGAACTTAGCCCACTAAATATACAGTCAATTCACTTTACAGTATATTCTACAAAGCGCATTGAGACATCTCGAATGATAAGGCGTTATATCAAATGCAAGGATTATTATGATTTGGTTCAATGGAACCAAAGATCTCTCCTTGTTCTAGACTTTTTTTTATAGTCTTACAACATGTGTGCACCACACCACCACCCCCCCTCCCAACGCCCCACCCCCACACATTCACACGAGCAGTGTATGATGTTATAGATTTGCAGGACATGTCTTAAAAGTGTCTCAAATGTGTTCTTGTTCTGTTTCTTTTGTGCATTCAAATAAAGCAGAACTCCATTGGGTAGCCTGTTATAACATAGTAGTTGGGGGTAGGGGGAAAAGGGCAATCCAGAAAATCCCAACCAGCTTTATAACAGGGCTCGATTGCTGGTCAGTGCTTCCCCACAAGGCTGGTGCATCCAGACAAAACACCAGCTGACACATGGGAGGCCAAGGTCGCCAACTTCTGGGACATAAGGTTACTGCCAATGTCACTTCTTATGGTACAGTGAGGATGACGGGGATATTGTTGAGATACTTTGTTAGCTTACTGTGGAGTTACTGGCAGATAAAATTGGGCAGAAAGGTTGAATTATTTATTTAGCTACTAAAAAGGTTTGCAACATTTATATGGCAATCAAGCTTCCTTACCTCTTTTCCAGTCTATTTACTTTCTGCTGAAATTTTTCATCAGCGATAGATGCATTTAAAGCCCGGTGAAATCTCTGGAAACGAATACACAAACAGTTTTAGTCATATCTAGTGAATAAAACTTTAGATTTCATTAAACATTTATGAAGCTCTGTCCTTACTTGTTCAACTCAAAATACATAACGTGAATTCATTTTCTAAATGAGATTTCATTGTCAACACATTTTTGTGGCACAACAATATCAATTTACCAGATTTACCAATTTAACAGATTTTTTTCAAGTAATCACCTACAAAATACACAAACACTTAATTTTGCAGTAAAATTCTGTGAGGCGCATTGAAACGCCTTCCTGATGTGAAACACTCTCTATCAAATTCAAGGATTAGATTTTTTTTAATGTTAGCTCATTGTACTTGTGCAACTCCATCTACTCCATTGATTAAGGTTGAGACTCGTTTTTTTTACTTCTATAGAGGGCACATCTCTTTGATTCCAGTTTAATCTCAAGGACACGCCGCTTTCCTCCTGACCCCGACGTCATTTATAAGATGTCTATGAGACATGTTAACTGATCTGAAATAATGTGAATTGGCAAAGAGCTGAGAGGACATCCCCATCAGAACCTTCAAACTCAGAACTTTCTGTGCTTCTTTGCTGAACCAGTTGAGTGGCCTGTGACTGTGCTCAATCACTGTAAAAGGAATATCAGGAAATGCAGACAACTTGTAAATTCCATGTTGCAGTCAACTCCAATCATCTTTTCAGCTCACAATGTGACAGAGGCCCAAGAATCTGCTGGGCTGACAATTCCTATCGCACTGCATGTGTACATTATGAATTCAAAATGTGGATCTAACGAAATCTGATTTTGAAAGGGTTGTGAATACACATGGCAATTTTCAGAACAGTTTGGTTATGCAAATTAAGTAAGTGGAATATTCCTCCCCATAGCTACTTTGTGTAAGTGTTTTTATCTGACACATGCAGAAACCTGCAGAATCACAGTACTGTATAGACTTGCTCAAGAATATCCAAACCAGATGGAGCTCTGCATGAACATTTGAATAACATTAATCCGATATTGAATCCTTATTCTGATGTGCGCAAGTTTCATGCAGTTTCCATTGCTTTTCACTGTACTTAAAATGCAGATGTCACAATCTTCACCAGGAACGTTAACTAGAATGGATTATTGCCAGAGATGTGCTGAGTATACCACTCTTGTGCCTGTCTGCAATAAATCTCCAATTTATACGCGCAAGCAATGTTTTGCATTGTGAAGTTTTCTGGTGACAGGTTATTATCAAGGCAATCTGGTTAATGGAGCAAATTCACACTTTTGCAAAAGGTCAGCATTGAGCAACCCTGCATTGTGTGCCCTATCACTAGTCACAGAGCTGGGTCAAATTAGCTCTCCTGTCTGCATACAAAACATTTGTTTAATTTTGAATTAATCTAATTTTGTGAAATGCTTGGAGAAGTTTTTTTACATGACCCAGAATATAAACAATCTGTTGCCAACCTCTACAAAATACACAATCAGTACTATTTACAGTACGTCCTGTGAAGTGCTTTGAGACGACCCCCTGACAGGAAAGACACTATATCAAATACAAGGATGATTACTATTGTTGTTAGTAAGCACAACTTTACCTACACTGTCCAAAACAATCTACGTTAATCCCAAGGTCAGGAAATACCCTTTACTGTATCAGTGTGACTTTTCCATTTCCTACAACAGCAGTTCTTACAACTTTTCTGAAAAGGTTAAATTGTTAAATTGTGAATGCAGAGTATGCACATATTTGCATGCAGCACATGGGGTTGTTCAACAGTAATGGAGCTGTCTGTACAAAAGTGTCTGGTAAATATCTTGAAACACTCTTATTTATAAAAAAAAACTTGCAATTTTACAGCGTCTTATCACTTTGAATTGCTTCAAAACATGTTCCAGGTAGTCAAATGTTTACTTGAGAATTAAAAAAAAACATGCAGTGATGTATTTCCAATCACTAAATGAAATAAAACAAGGAAATTGGAAAATCCAGCAGCTGATAAAGGTGATGTTGGAAGCTTCTTTGCCACATTTTACTAATCTCATGGAATTGATACACAAAAGAATGGATAAGGGATTCATTTTCTGTGTCCTCCCCATTTCATGTTGTGATAGGAATATTTCTGAGTTAGTTTGACTAGCTTCTATAGGATTCTGATTGCTCTTCGTATTATATCTTACAGTCTTTTTCTGTGAGCGTACATTGATCGTAACATTGTTAAGGATGATAAAGGTCATTTTTAATTGTTTAAAGTTAAAATCTAAATATATCCATTAATAAATGTACAGAGTTATTTTACATTGCAGTGCTTGAATGTTGATGTATTCAAGTTATTTTATGTCCTCATATGCACTCATACCTGACTTGTATGGAGCCAATACGTCAGTTTAGGTTTTCTTTTGATTCTCGGAAGCACCAGTCTATAGATGATGTGCTCACCAACTGTTGCGAGGAGAGAACCAATGATTCCAACACAGAGCATCACAAAGAGTCCTGAGAAGTGCATGATACCCATTTGTAAAGTCTGTGAATATAGAGAGAATTAAAAATATGATTGAAACTTGGTTCTCAGAATGGAAGGGGGACAATGTAATTGTGTTATAAGATAAGTCATTAGCTTAGCTGAGTGCTGAGCTAATCTTCATTGAAATGCCTCATGTGAATACCAATAGGTTTTGGGAGCTATTAATGAGTATGCCAGTTCATAACCCACACTTTGTCTTGAGATACAAGAATTGTACAGCGCTTCGAAGCGCAAGTCTGTATGAAGGGCACTATATAAATGCAAGTTGTTGCTGTCGTATCAGTCAGTAATCTCAGTATCCATGTACCACCATCTCAGTGTTAACTACAAGACTACAGACCTGTTTCTGCCATAATTAGAAGGTTAGCTGTAATGTTGCAAGTAAAATGTTCATAATAAATATAGATTGTTTGAATGGATGAAGTGCCTATTTGTCTTATAAGTGCTTATTTTAGATTTTGTCTGCCTTGTTCAGTGCTTTCAAGAGGTGGCAGCAGAGGCTCTCATCACTGACGACCTGGTTATTTCTAATCTCAGACTCTCACAAGCACAAATAGGCCAAACCCATCAGGGATTCTTGTCTTAAAGCTGTGGAATTGCTGTGGAATTGGCATTATAACAAAACAACTTGCATTTATATTGCACCCTTCACATGGGGCTGTGTCTCAGACGACATGAGGCTGCTGGTGGGGCTTTTATTCCAACAATCATCTCATCCTGGAGCATGCTTAAAAGGAGCTTTCAACCTTATCATTTCTGACAGACATTGATGAAAGATATGAGCCATTGTGGCTGTTTTGTTTTTACAGACATTGAAAAACAGTGGAGCCTTTTTCCAGCACTACTATGCTTATCAAAATAATCATCATCAGAACTGAAAGGGAATGGCAGCAAATGTGAAAAGGTTATGTGATGTTTTTCCAAATCTAATTCCTCGGGTTGACAACAGATCATTATCATCATTATTTACAATTAGTTTTTATTTAACACTGTATTTTAAGTTACTCCAGATTCTCTTGGGTTCCATGGATAAGCAATCATTTTCATTAAGGAGCAGAATAACTTCTGAGGCTTTTTGTGCACAAATATTTCCTTTACTTTTACTACCCTAGATTCATAGAATCAAAGAATTACAGCACAGAAAGAGGCCATTCGGTCCACCGTGCCAGTGCTGGTTCTTTGGAAGAGCTATCCAATCAGTCCCACTCCCCCGCTCTTTCCCAATAGCCTTGTATGTTTTTCCTTTTTAATTTCCTATCCAATTCCCTTTTGAAAGTTGTTATTGAATCTGTTTCCCTCACTCTTTCAGGCAGTGCATTCCAGACGTTAACAAATCCCTGTGTAAAAAAATTCTCCTCATCTGTCCTTTGGTTCTTTTTCCAAATATATTGAACTTATGTGCTCTGGTTACCAACCCACCTGCCATTGGAAACAGTTTCTCCCTATCTACTCTATCAAACCCCCTCATAATCTTGAATACCTCTGTCAAATCTCCCCTTAACCTTCTCTGCTCTAAGGAGAACAATCCCAGCTTCTCTAGTCTCTTCACTAAAGTCCCTCATCCCTGGAACCATTCTGGTAAATCTCCTCTGCACCCTCTCCAAGGTCTTGATATCCTTCCTAAAGTGTGTTACTCAGAATTGGACAAATATTCCAGCTGATGCCTAACCAGTGACTTATAAAGGTTTAGCAGAACTTGCTTGCTTTTGCACTCTATATATAAAGCCAAGGATCCCATATGGTTTTTAACAGCTATATCAACTTCTTCTGCCGCCTTCAAAGTCCTGTGTATGTGAAACCTGTGTTCTCCTGTAAAAGGAAGATGATTTAAGCCTTATTGCATGGCTTTGTCCCACTTCCCTTCTATGCTTCGATTCATCTTCCACTTTGGACAGCTGCCAGGAGACCAAAGTGTGCAGGGGAATGCTCAAATTAATCTCAAGGTTCATTAGTATGCAGTTTTCTATTCTAAACATAGGATTTTCATATGGGAATCAATCGACAATCGCGATCTGTCCTGAAATAGTTTGTCTCATTTTAGTGAGGAAAGCATGGTGAATGGTGAAGCCAGATTGAGTTCCGGAGAGGCTCCTCGGAGATTAGTGCAGTTTTACTTGCCCCATAAAAGTAAAAGTTGGAACTTGTATTTTATATTTTTTTTCTTAAATATATTAAATGCATTTAGTAACTTTACTTTTTTCAGTTTCAAAACATTCAAAACAATACTTGTTGCTATCCTGTGCCTGACTGGAAAGTATTTGAACAATATGATCATCAATTTGCTAAAAACTGGCTTCAATGCCAGATTTAAAACCTCTAATCATTGAAACTTGAATTGGTCAGATCATTTAAATCATTGGGTAAAATGTATTACACTTTTGTAGTATGGTGGTGGGCATGAAGCTTTGTTAGTTATCCCAAGAGAGTTATTTCAGTTAACGTGCACTATAATTTAAAGGAATTTGCTACAAAGTAGTATAAAGTAACTGGATTAGCATCAGTAAAGATATAGTCAATATCGCAAAGTGTTTCAGCTGTGTGTGTCAATTCAGCTTCTTCAAACTGTTGGGCACAGAAGTTACATTGAAATTGGGATCACCACTGGGTGTATCGCTCTTGCAGTGTAATTCCAAGTTGCCTCTAAAGTCTGACACAGACGACAAGAGAGTACTGTTGAAAACTTGTAAAAACTGAGCAATTTCAAGTTCATGCCCTTGCAATTGCTCGTATTAGAATTTGCCAGCTGAGCCTGTAATGAGATATGCTAGCTGAAAAGCTCACAGCAACAGAACTTTTTCACTCCGGATACTAGTTTTGAAGCAGCGTGGAGGAGAATGTAGCTCATCTGAGCTGAAGTTGCTTAAATGGAGGCAAGAGAGGGTGGATGACAGGAAAACGTTTAAATACTCTATAATTCTTTAGGCTTAATAACACATTGATTTAGTGACAAAACAATATCCTAAGCAAGCTTACCAGGCATAGTTTCAAAGGTCCAAAGGAAAGCGTAGGACAATGTACTAGATCAGTGTTCTTTCACTTGTGATTAGGTTGTTCAAGAATTAAGCAAACTGAACATTAAAGGGTTATAAATGGAATGTGTTGTGCTGTGGTGCTGTAGGATGTCAGCCTGATGTGAAAGGTGCTATATAAAAATATTTTTTGTTTGTTTGTGCTCCGCAACTCTGTGTGGCGGACTTTAAACCACACCAAAGGCTATTTTCCAATGCTACCAGTCGACTCTTTACTAACCATGCGATGGGTAGAGATATTCAATAGAAAACAGTCTCTTTTTCTTCACTGGCTGTAAACTAAGTATTTAACAAGATTCACATGATTGTGATGGCCTAAAGGGGCAGCAACACTGAGTAACAAAATAAACTTACTTAAATGACTGAACTACTTTCATCTTATTTATGGTTTGTAGAATACTTTGTACTTATTTCAAGTTTGTGTTTTTAGTTAACATTCTCAAAATGCACCAAAATACCAGAGAAAATATTTAAAATATGCTCACAGAAGGAATTTTGTTTGAAATTGGTGTGTTTACAATTGAATGATTAAAGACTATGCATTAAACTTTAACCACAGTCCCCTAATCCAAATTAGGGGAAACGTTCCAAGTCAGATAAAAAATATGGCTGTGTATTACGCAAATATTATGCATTTCTTTCAATTTAATAGCTTCAAAGAGCATCACCACAAACCACAAATAGCAAAGCTCCCTCATTAAGTAGGTCAACTACTGTCTTTTTAATACTTACCTTAGTTCACAAAGTTTATTTGGATAAAGAAGAACTTTTGGCCCATCTAATCTCATCTTTTCAGTATATCCAACCTCCCATCACAGCACAAAGCTGCTTTTTAAATGAGTCCAATGTCTTTGCCTCAACCACCCTTCCTGACAACCTGTTCCAGTTGTTAATTATCCTCTATGTAATGAAAAACGTCCAGTGTCTGTCCTAAAATTGCTCTTTGTAATTTTAAACTTATGTCCTCTTGTTCTGCTGTCTTGGTACATCCTTAAAGAGTTCTCACCTCTGTCACTGCAAAACTTCTTTTGCCGCACGGAACAACTTTATACCATTTGTCGTGAAGCACATCCATAAAACCATCGGACTTGTACTGGCTAATCAATTCAGAAACATTTGAAGTCAATGGAGCATTCTGTGGAAGGCCAATACCATATCCTACAACGTGTAACATGGGAAAAGAAAACAGTGAAATTAGAAACAACAGTTTCTCATTAAATAACCCGCTGAGGGTCGTCTGTATTAAAAAACAAATAACGCTTACATGATAATTATAGTAATAATAAGCCTTGAATTTGATATGGTGCCCTACTGTTGAAATTTCTCAAAGCATTTCGCAGGATACTGATGTAAAGTATATTGACAGTGCATTTGTAGGTGAACATAACAACAACAGACAATAGTTTACATTTATATAGGATTGTTTGCGTCAGCATAACATCTCAAAGTGCTTCACATAAGTAACTGTGAGCTCAAGCTGGAGGTGGCAGGCTGCAGAGGATTGATGGGGGAGGAGGGGGAGTTGACAGAAAGCACTGTCTAAATGGCAGATATTAAGACAAGGCTTGAAAGGTGGGAGTGAGGTAGTAGGATCCCAGGATTTTCCGTGGGGCATGTCATCGGAAGAAACTCCCTTCTCTTTACGGAAAATCCCACGGGATCTTTAATGTTCACCCGAACAGGCAAAAGAGATCTTGTCTCATTGAAGGACAGCAACTCTGACAAGGCAGTACACCTGTAGTTCTACACTGCACTATCAAAGCCACAATGAGTTCAAAGTACCAATGTGAGGTTTGGACCTACAACCTTCTGACTCAGAGTCAACAGTGCAATCAAATGAGCCAGGCTGACACACTGCCATTTATGTGGCGTGAACATCTTGTTCATCATCCAGGAAAGTATTGATATCCTAGACTTATTACAAGGCAGCAATTGGATAAAGGTACTCAGAGGAGATTGTAAAACTGTGAGAACAAACCTTAGCCTGTAGAGTTATATGAACCCAGAGGTGGAAATTACAGGCTTCAAATCACTTGAGAGTATTGTCTTTCATTTCAACATCTACTGTAGACTTTTATTCCATTCAGAACCTTATCTTCTTGTCTTTGTTGTACAGGCTGTCATGCTGGACACCGACAATCAGTATGCTCCAGGTAGCTGACATGTAATGATGTCAACCCTGAAGGATTGACAACAGAAAGGCAAACACTGCAAGTGTCTTGACTGATAAATAGCAGTGTATTACCAGGTAATGTCACTATCTATACACATCATTGGTCGATTGCCCAAAACAGTTACCAAGTCAACAGGAAAAGAAAAATAAAGGTATGTAATAAAGAGTGGTGCCAAGAAGTATACAGCTCAAGCATCCAGTAGGTTACGTCCCAATGGCACAAGTTGAATGTTTTTTGCATATGCTCTGTTCATCAAATTTAGAGAGCACGAGAAGCAACCTGGATTCATCAACTGTCACTGTGTCACTAAAGTTGTTTCAAATACTTTTTTGAAAGACATCAACATACTTAGACCTCACCCATTCTTACTGACAAGCAAATCAGATTGTAATGTTGCTGCAATTCATCAATCTTGCTCAGTTGGTCTCAGTTGCAATTCATCAACCTTGCTCTCACCTCTGAGTCAGAAGGTTGTGGGTTCAAGGCCCATGTTGGGATTTTGAGCTAATAATCTGGGTTGATACTCTAACTGGGAAACACTGCATTGTTTGGGATTCTGTGCTTCAGATGTTAAGATGAGGTCCAAGCTGCCTGTTCATATGGACGTTAAAGAACCCATGGCATTATTTGAAAAGAGAAGGTAGTTTTTATCAGTGACTGAGCCAACAATCCTCCAGATAAAAATTGGCCATTCACTTCATGGCTGTTTGTGGGACATTGTTGAGTGCAATTAGCTGCCGTTTTGCCTACAAATACAGTGACTTCACTTTACATTAAATCTGGTAGAGCGCTTTGAGAAATGTCTTTGGTGTGATAAGTTTGGTGAATCAAATACAATAATGATTATTATTAATAATAACCTATCAACAAATAGAAACACATTTCTTGAAATGCTGCTGATCATAATTTAATAGTTAATGCAATAAAGTCAGACTTTCATCATGTGTGACCAGGGCTCCCTCTGCCTCCTCATGCTCCTCAACCTCTCCGCGGCCTTTGACACCGTGGACTATTCAATCCTCCTCCACCTCCTCTCCTCCCACTTCAACCTTCAAGGTGCTGTCCTTGACTGGTTCAAGTCCTACCTTTCACACTGCCTCCACTTTGTCGCAGCAAACGGTTTCTCCTCCAGCCCCCGAACTGTCTTGTGCAGTGTTCCTCAGGGCTCTGTCTTCGGTTCCCTCCTCTTCACCCACTATATGCTTCCCCTTGGTGACGGCATTCGCAGACATGGGGTGAATTTCCACATGTATGCGGATGACACCCAACTCTACCTCTCTGCCTCCACCCTGAACTCCAGGACTACTGAGGTCTTGACCGACTGCCTGTCCGACATCAAGTCCTGGATGAGGGACAACTTTCTCCAGCTCAACGTCAGCAAGACCGAGGCCCTCCTGATTAGCTCGTACCAGCGCCTCCACACCTCAGGCGCTGGCAGCATCAGCCTCCATGGCTGCACATTCAACCTCACTAAGCCAGTCAGCAACCTGGGTATCTTGTTTGACCCTGAACTGTCCTTTCTCCCCCACATTCGCGCCATGACCGGCTCTGCCTACCACCACCTCCGTGAAATTGCCAGACTCTGCCACTGCCTCATCCCTCAGGCTGCCCAAACCCTCACCCACGCATTTGACACCTCAAGGCTCGATTATGGGAACTCCCTCCTCATTAGCCTTCCCAACTCTTCCCTTCACAAGCTGCAGATCATCCAAAATTCTGCAGCTCATGTACTCTCGCGCCCCAGGCTCCGTGACCCCATCACTCCCACTCTCTCCCAACTCCACTGGCTCCCCATCCCCCAGAGGATCGAGTTCAAGATCCTCGTCCTCACCTTTAAGGCCATCCATGGCCTTGCCCCCTCTTACCTCTCTGACCTGCTGACTCCCTACCAACTTGCCCACTCCCTCCGTTCATCAGGCTCCGGCCTGCTCCATGTCTCCCCCCGACCCACCCTACCATCGGTGGCCGGGCTTTCAGCCTCTCTGCCCCCACACTCTGGAACTCCATCCCATGGTCCCTTTACCTCGCTTCCTCCCTTGCCTCCTTCAAGGCTGGTCTGAAACCCTTCCCTTTGACCGTACCTTTGGTCTGCCTCCCACTTCTCTGCCTTCCTTCACCCCTACACCACCCCTCCCCCATGCTCGGACCCTGACATCTGACTCTTCAGTGCTTTGGGACGTCCTCCCGATGTGAGAGGCGCTCTATAAATATAATTTTGTTGTTGTTGAATGGATCGGGTAATTTCAAAACTCTGGACACAATTTAATCTACAGCAATGTTAACATTTGTTGATATTACCTTGTTTTTGACATAAAACTGCAATGCATATATTGTTAACACTTTCACTTTATTCATTTTGTACTCTGTGTTGACCTCATTACAATTTTTCTCTGAAATCTATCAATACATAATTACATAAAAGATTAGTGCTGCTTTGACTTGAACACCTGGTTTAGCTTTAAGCAAGTCTCTGTGTTTTAAAATTGACAACTAAATCATCTGACATGTCTCAGCATCCAGCTGAGCAAGCAGTTCATTTAACGCAACAAATTTACAAATTATACCCAGTGAAATGATACAAAACGTGAGCATTTAAATTTCTGAACTATACAAAATTAATGAAGCACACGTGTACACCTAACCTCCAAAATGTGGCATTATTGATTGTTACCTATGATGGAATTAAACATTGCAAACTGAAATGCTATTATGATTGGTACTGTTGTTTAGTCAGCTTTGCATTAGTATATTCCTAAGTGTATAATTCTGCAATCAAATTAAGAACTTCTCAGAGGAAATTAAAAAAGGGAATAATAACTGGCAGTGAGTAGCATTTACTAATTTGCAAAACAAAATCTACAGGGCTGGTAACATCACCTATATTGTACTATTGAGATTCAATTCCGGCAGTCTCCAGATTGGAATATGGCAGGAGACACAAAGGAATGAAAATGATGAAGGCTGCAGGGATTTCAAACCAAAATATTCCATTGGATTCCATCAATGAATTGAAGCGTCCATGCATCAAATAAATGAATTAAAGTGGTTATAGCATAAAGAATGATATCAGATCTCAGGGTGGTCAGCAGGTGCAGATGCTCGGGAAAGCTAAGGGAATGAAACCAATATGAAGAACACAAAGAACATGAGCCAAGAGTATTTGTGACTGGGGTTAAGCAGATATTCTGCTAACAGTTGGATCCGTAGAAATAAAATAAACCGATTTAAGGAACCAAGACTATCCTTAATAACAGTGTTGAAACATTTGATCTCATGTTACTTGAAAAGCAAGCCTAATGTTACACTATTAAATTGTTTCTTAAAATATTCTGGTTCTCCAGCCTTTCTGGCAGAAGATAATTAATTTGCGGCACTTTAAAAAAACTTTTGCTTTATCTTTCAGAAAAAAATAATGCATACCTTCAATAGCAAAAGGCTTGCCAACTGTTAGTAACTTGCACTCGGCATCAATCGAGACCTCATAATCCAACAGTGCTTTGTCCATTATAAAAGCATCAAGTGTTTCTGGATCGTGCCTAGATTGAGAAGTCAGAAGATTCGAATCAGAAATTCAGATTTCATTTTCCAATTTCATAACTACTTTACAGCACATGCTCCCTTAGGATGATATAATCCTTAATAACAGTGTTGAAACATTTGAGAACTACTACACAGATAGCAGTTTTCAGGATCCCGGTTCACTAAATAAGGCACGCATTTGTACATTTTCCAAATGTATGTATGCTTTGCACAGCTAAACACAGGTCAGTATATCAAATTATTATGTAACACTGCTGTACCCTGCATAATCCAAGGATGTGGAATAGGTGCAGGAATCCTCAATGTCAATTTGAGATATCTTTCCTTCGCAGTATTTAAATTTCACCAATCTCTCAAAATTGTATGATTCGTTTTTTTAATCCATAAAAAAAGTACACTTCTGTTTTTTAAACCAACAGTACTTTTTGGAAAAGTAAAACTGCCACGTTCAATGCCCTTTGCATGCTGGGCTGTCCTCCTTCACCAACATACTCTCGTCTTTTCTGAACCATGTCCATCAAACCTTGCAGAGACTCCTCACTGGAACAGGTTTTGCTCTGCTGTTGTGAAGCCATTTTCCACCACAATCTGTAAGGTACAACTCTCGAACTTCTTAACATTTATCGGACTCAAGTGGCTATTTAGTTGCTTCAGAAAAGCGGAGGGTGAACTTTCAGGCAATTGGGCCGATACTTTGTTTTCATTGAAGCTTCATAAATTTGGATTTCTGCTCAAGCCTGCTAGTCACTCAGTGGTTTTTGTCAACCAAGCCCTTAAAAGTTTGAAAAACATGCCCTGTACTTAATCTTAACACATTAAAATAGGTACTTGGGAGAAGTGCGAAAACGATTCCTGAATATGGACAAGGGAGTTTCTCCCAGTTTCCTGGCCAACAATCCCCAAGATAAAATTGGTCATTCACTTCATGGCTGTTTGTGGGACATTGCTGTGCACTAATTTGGCTGCTGTAATCGCCCACAAAACACATAGTATCTGCACTTTACGGAATAACCTTTGAAGCACTTTGGGACGTTTCCCTGATATAAAAGGCGCAGTACTAAGTGGAAGGATTATTTATTATTCTGTAACTTGACACAGGCCTGTTACCTTCAGAAGAAGAATAAGGTAGAAAAACAGCTTTAAACTCTAATTTAACGAAACTGCTTCTGTAAATAGTGCAGTGAATTTCCACGTTCGTACCTGATATTACATCACTGTAGAACAGCTTAGACTTCACTGCCCTATTCCATCATCCATGAATGATGCCACAAACAATTAACTGGCACCATTTCTCATGAAATATAAATTGGCAACAGTTTGGGGGGAAGGGAAAACAACTCAAGAAGAGGAATGAGCTGCCACTGAAAACAACAGGGTATTGTCACCGTATAATCTTGTGGAGGTCATTCACTTACTGGGACTGACTGTACATGTGACACACGTGATGGACTGAACATTGCACATTTCAAGATTTGCAATCTGACAAAACCGGATAGGTACCTGGCTAATCATGCAAGGAGCAAACCTGAGAGGAGCTGTCAATGTTGGGTATTAAGAAATACATGGATCTGACAATGCGCAAACAGGAATCACCACTTACTTTAAATATTCCACCCCATCTGGGGTTGTTGGTACATTGTACCTTCTCATATATTCGTTCATCTCTGGAAAACTCTTCTTCACATAATCCTCTGCACTGCTTTCTCGCACTGTTCCAAAGCGGAAACCTTGTGATGGATGATGAAGCTTGAAAAGAATAAAGATGGAAATCAAGAGCATAGTATATTCCTTTTAAATTTCACCATAATATCCCCAAGATAGGTACAGTTATGAATAATAATGAACAGCGCAATACAAATGTGAATTATTGTTCCAGTTGCAAGTTGTTCTTTATCAGGAGATTCCAACAGCTGACCACAAGTAGCAGTCCAAAACCCAGCCAGCCCAAATCAGCTGGATTGAATCTTACAGCGTAGAAGAAGGCCACTTGGCCCATCATGCTTGTTCCAGCTCTTTGAAAGAGCTACCAACTAGTCCCACTCCTCACTCTTACCCCATAGCCCTGCAATTCTTTCCTTTTCAAATGCCTCTTCCAATCCCTTTTGAAATCTACCAACGGAACTGGTTATGCTACCTCCCTCTCCCCCAGCCTCCGCCACTGTTAAGTGCTCTGAGACGCTACCCTGCATGGAGGATGCTATATAAGTGCAAGTTGTTGTTATACCGCCTTTACAGGCAGTGCATTCCAGACCGTAACAACTCACTTGGTAATTTTTTTTTTTATCCGGGACAGAATAAATCTCTACTTAGAGGAACATGAGGTAATTAGAGACAGCCAACATGGATTTGTTAAAGGCAAATCTTGCCTAACAAATCTAATAGAATTTTTTGAAGAGGTGACTGCGAGGGTTGATGAGGGAAATGCGGTGGATGTTATTTACATGGATTTCAAAAAGGCTTTTGACACAATACCGCGTAAGAGATTAATAAAAAAATTAGAGGCCCACAGTATTAAGGGGACAGTGGCAGTTTGGATTAGGAACTGGCTGAGTGACAGAAAGCAGAGGGTGGTGGTTAATTGCTGTTTCTCAAAATGGAAGGAGGTGTGCAGGGGTGTCCCCCAGGGATCGGTATTGGGACCACTGCTCTTTCTAATATATATTAATGATCTGGACTTGGGCACAGAGAGCACTATTTTCAAGTTTGCAGATGATACAACGTTAGGTATGGTAGTAAATAGTGAGGAGGACTGTAACCAACTGCAAGCAGACATACACAGAATGGTGGAATGGGCTGACATGTGGCAGATGAATTTCAATGTGGATAAGTGTGAGGTGATACACTTAGATAGGAAAAATGATAGGAAGCAATATAGACTTGGTAGCTCAATCTTAAGGGGGGTGAATGCACAAAGAGATCTGGGTGTTCAAGTAAGCGAATCATTAAAGGTAGCGGGACAGGTAGATAAGGCAGTAAAAAAGGCATTTGGTGTACTGAGCTTTATTAGTAGGGGCATAGAGTATAAGAGCAGGGAGGTTATGGTTAATCTATACAAAACACTGGTTAGGCCTCAGCTGGAGTACTGCGTCCAGTTCTGGGCACCTTACTTCAGGAAGGACATTAAGGCACTGGAAAGGGTGCAGAGGAGATTCACGAGAATGATACCAGGAATGGAGAACCTTAGTTATGAGGACAGGCTGGAGAAGTTAGGACTTTTCCTATTCGAGCAGAGAAGGTTACGCGGGGACCTGATAGAGGTCTTCAAGATCATGAAAGGTTTCGACAGGCTAGATAAGGAAAAGCTGTTTCCGCTGTAGGTTTGTCTGTGACCCGTGGTCACAGTCTTAAGATATCTACCAAAAGAAGCAGAGGGGAGGTTAGAAGAAATTTTTTCACTCAGCGAGTTGTTTGAATTTGGAATGATCTGCCTGAAAGGGTAGTGAAGTCCGATTCGATAACAGCTTTTAAGAGAGAACTGGATAGGTATCTGGGGAAGACGGGTTTGCAGGGTTATAGGGAGAAAGCTGGTGAGTGGGGTGAGTGAAAGTGACTTGCTCTGTCAAAGAGCCGGTACAGACTCGATGGGCCGAATGGCCTCCTTCTGTGCCATAACATTCTATGAATCTATGAATCTCCTTTCTGTTTCTTCTGCCATTTATCTTAAATCCGTGGCCTCTGGTTTCTAACCCACCCACTAGAGGAACCAGTTTCTCCCTATCTACTCTATCAAAACCCCTCATAATTTTGAACACCTCTCTCTATTAAATCTCCCCTCAACCTTTTCTCCAAGGAGTATAATCCCAGCCTCTCTTATCTCTCCACATAACTGAAATCCCTCATCCCTGGTATCATTCTGGTAAATCTTATCTACACCCTCTCCAAGGCCCTGACATCCTTCCTAAATTAGACACAATACTCCAGCTGAGGCTCAACCAGCAATTTGTAAAGGTTCAACATAACTTACTTGCATTTATTTTATTTTATGCCTCTATTTATAAAGCCAAGGATCCCATTTTTTTTAACAGCTTTGTCAACTTATCCTGCCATCTTCAAAGATTTGTTCATGTGAACCCCCAGGCCTTTCTGTTCCTGCAACACCCTTAAGATTATACCATTTACTTATATTGCCTTTCCTCATTAATGCTACCAAAATGCATCAATTCACAATTCTCTGGTTTCAATTCCATCTGCCACGTGTCTGCCCTGTTCACCAGCCTGTCTATGTCCTCCTGCAGTCTGCTACAATCCTCCTCACTTGAAGCGCAATACCTTTTTCATAGATCTTTATGGAAATAGGACCAGTGTTCGAACACGAGCCCTAATGTTTCTGAAGTATTGTTAATTGAGCGCCAAAGTGCAGTCCAATGCTGCGGGCTTAAAGCCAACCAGCCAGACTCAAATTCTATAATACTTGCCTCCAAGAGGTGCATGTGTTCACATATATGTGTGTGTTTTATTCTTTGCATCAGTTTTGCTTTGAAGTGGCTGGCTGCAATTTAACTCTACCTGCCTTTGATTTAGTTCCATCCAAATCCTCAGTGAACTATTTCTGCTGCCCTGTCACCTCTGTAGTGACGAGATTGGCAGGGCAGGAGGCCAGTGAATTGCACTCTATGTAAGTATATAGCTGCCTGTCCCCTTCTCCCTCCATAATGCAGGGAGCAGTCAATGTGGAGTCCTGTAGTGTATTGGTTAGAGCGCTATCTTTGGAAATGAGAGGACCTGTGTTTGATTCCCAGGCTAGGGAAAACCTTAGGCAAGTTTCCTTACTCCGCACTCCTCTGTTTATATAGCAGTAAGTAGGAACCTGGTTGTTAGTTGATTGGCGGATCCCTTTTCCAGGTAAAAAAAGAATAATTTGGTCACTCAATCCATGACTGTTTGTGGGACACCTCTATGTGCGTTTAGCTGCCGAGTTTCACCCATAGAAATATACAGTCAATTCACTACAGTATATTTTGTGGAGCACTTTGACACGTGTCGAAGACATGATAAGCTGCTATATCAAATGCAAGAATTATGATTATTACTAATACAGGCCTATGATTTTCAGCTGGTTATACACTATCAGGCAGTTTTAAGTCACTGTAGAAGCATTACTTTAAATGATGTTAACATTTTCAGAAGAGTTTAACATTCAGGTGGCTGAAACTCATCAATGTAATAGATTTATGCATATCATTAAGTAGTTCTGAGTTTATATTTTAATTATTTTTTTATTCAGTAACTATTTGAAGGTAAAATAATCTATTGTGGACTTGTGTTCCAAGGAAGCGCAGCTGCCTGAGGATTAAATTTCTTTACAAACTGTCATATTTTATTCAGTATTTTTATTCTTTATTTCTTTAATATAAATATGTCAGAAGGTGGCTTGCTTTCTCCCAGGCAATTCTTCAAACTAGTACACAAAGCCTATTTTCAGCTATATGATATTTCTGACCGCTAAGTACGGAATATAATATGCTTTGACCTTTGTGGCAAATCTGTAAAGAAACAGATTGCTTAAAAAAATGCTGAAGCTCTTTTGTGATGGGCATGGTTAATTAATTCCAACAGTTCTGGTATTCACAGTATTTTGATCTGTTGTAGAATTTTTTTTCGGCAAATTTATGACAACTACTTTTTGACCTTGCACATTAGAGATATAAAACAAAGATTCAAATGCGCCTGAACTGCAGGCATAATTTTCACCTAGAAACAAAATAGGGACTATGTTATTTCAATCATTTCTACCCTTTGGTTGTAGATTAGATTGATGATTTTCTACTTGGGCTATGCCGTTTTATATTTGAAATTAATTTCACAATGCAAAGTGCCTCTCGGCAGGCTGTAGTAATAAAGAAGCAGATTTGTCTTCTCAAAACCTAATTACTGAAAGGTGCTAATGAGGGTAAAACATAACCACAAGCAGGATGATTTCAAACCTAATTTCCCACAGTTTTCAAAGCTTTCTGATTAACTGCATTTACCCAAGAAAGAAACTTGCATTTTTATAATGCCATTTATGTCAGAAGCCTCAAAGCACTTTATGATAATTATTGTCAAGCGGATTGAATGTTTTGTACCCAAACGTAGAAGCTATTTAATGTGCAGCAAAGTCCTATTGACAGCCTTGAGATGAATGATCAATTTATCTGGAGGATTGCTGGCCAGGACCCTGGAAGAAACAGCCACATCCTTTTGATTTGTGACATGGGATCTTTACTGTCCCCATGAAGAATAGGATGACCAGACATTAGCATTTCATCTGAAAGATGGCAACCCCGGCAATGCAGTGCTCCCCAGTGTCCCCAGCTATTTCTAACTAGATGGAGACCCTTAACCGGATGGATATAGTTACATATATATAGTACTTTATATTAAACAAAAGAACACCCAACTTACACACAAATGGGAAAACTGCCATCTAAAACAGATATAAGTGGTGTATAATGATATTTCCTGTGGAGAGACATTTGAGTAGGATGATTATATATTGGTGATTCTCTCTGTTGATTTGTCGGAACAACAACAATCTGCAAATTATACTTTGGTGCATGTACATCCTTGATGTATAGATATAGTCAAAATGTTCCTGTTTTATCTGCATATCGGCAGTTATACCAAGGATTTCCTTCAACCCATTTGCAAGATCTAGGACCAAGTGGTCAGATGAATTGATGGAAAAGGGGAAATGACTGCAGGGAGGGAAAGGAGGACCCCAGCCACATTGGCCAGTTCTTGAGCCAGGTACGTCTGCAGTATTC